TAGATCATTAACCTTGGGAGACAAAAGTTTCCTCTCATCTTCCTCTTCATAACCCTTGAAGGGTTTGCCATTTTGTGTTGATTTGCCTTGGATTGAAGAGGAACAATCCTCTTGTGAGGTAGGGGATGTTTTAGGGTTATATTTTGTTTCTTGCGTGCTATTGATGCTTATATGAGTTGTATGCATGTCTTTTGCTAATTTGAGAAATTATGATTTATCATAGCTTGCATGTAACTCATTTTAAACTTGTTAAATGGCATGGCCATGAGTTGATATTTGATATATATTGACTTGGGATGATTTAGATGAGTTTTCAAATCTAGAGATTTAATGGATTTAATTTGATTTAAATTTTAGTAAATTGTATTTTACTTGTATTCCATTTTAGACTAGAGATATGGTATGACCATGATTTGGTGCTTGTTATATATCAATTTAGGATCATTTGAACAACTTTTGAAATCTAGAGATTTAATTAAAATTGAATTAATTAAAATCTACATGATGATGTCTTGCTTATTTTGCTCTTTTGATTTGACATATGTATTGAGCATGCTATGTTGTTTAACATAGATTAATTTGAGGTTGTTTAGGATAGATTTGAAATCTAGAGACTTTCCATGATTAGGTTGAAAATCTCTTAAAATGTACTATTCTATTTACCTTGTGAGCATGCTACTAATTTAAAGTATATTTAGTACTTGTGGCCTCTTAAAATAGTATTTAGACTTAACATGATATAGAACATCATTGATTAGTAAAGCTTGTTTAAATGTATCTTGTGTAGGTATATAGCTTATCTAGAATATTATAATTGTTTACCTTGGAAACTAGTTACTAAATTGAAGATTATTTAGTACTTGTGGCTTAGGATGGTAATGTGACTCAATTGTTGTAAAATATTCTTACTTTGTGTATAAATTGCATATTGAGGACTTGACATGTCATATGTTATTTAGACTTGAATTCTAGGACATGGTTTGTGTGGAATCAACCTTACTTGTGCATGCAATGTGGTAACTTGCATTTGATTTTGTATAAATTTTGAACTTATTGGTTTTGAAAAGCTTGTGAGGACATATATTATGTGATGGCTAGGGTTTGGCTCTAGTACGAAGACAAGTGTCTTCTAAGTCATAAGTGCGCACTAGGTAGTACCTTGTGGGTCGTAATTACCCGAAAATACTTGCTTGGTCTAGCGACCGCATGTCCTTGTCTTTCCACTATTTGTTGTTTTTGCATTTAATTTTAAGTTGTTAATCATGGATTACTTGTAACTTGAGAATTGATGCTTGTTTGGGACAATTGAATACTATTTAGTATACTTGAACTTGTATACTTGCTCCGTGAGTTTGACTTTCATTTAGTGTACATGAGCATGTATACTTGGATGCCGTTATTTGCTTTAACTTGCATGGGTAGCTTAGGATGCTCCCTGAGTCTCACTTGATATAGACGTTAGGCGGCATGAGCTCCTTTAACATGTTTCACCATAAGTTGATATAATTGTAAAATACTAGGTTGATGCATGCTCATTTCCTACGAGTAACTTTATGTTACTCACCCCTACGATACTGGGGCATATTTCAGGTACAAGAATTAATGTTGAGACTCCCATTATGTTTGGATGACTTGTGGACTTCAAGATTTCCATTTTGTGAAGATTGGCTTGAAATGCCTTTATAGCTTTATATGTCAAAATGTGTATATTTGATTCCATTAATGTAATGTGTACGTAAGTACACTCTTTACAATGTATTTGACATGTATGAGATGAGGCCAAGAGCCATTAACATGAAAGACTACAAGCATGTTATCTTTAAAACTCAAGTATTGCCATTGTAGCTTATTTGTGAGAAATTGAGGCTTTGTATGCTAAAACTTGTTAATGGAATGTAAAGAGGCTTTAGGCCATGTTGGTGCATCTATTTTATCATATTGCATGCACTTGCATACTCACTTTGGCAAACAATACCTTCCTTGATGAAACAAAAACTCTAAGTAGCATTTTTAGGGAGTTTTACCCTATTCTGTTTTAGGGGCATTTCGGATATTTCACAATGTGTTTTTTTCATTTTTCCTTATGAGTCATGTAGAATACTCAATTTTGAGGGGGGTTTATTCTTTATGTTTTTCCAGAAAACATCATCTTGGCCCTCAAAAATCAATATTTTTCCGAAAAATCCTTGCTGCCAGGTTTTGCAAATTTTTAGTACAAATGTAGTTGGTACTATTCATCGACTTTTTTTTGAAAATCGTCACGACCGATCCAAAACTTCTGGAGGTCTTGTGGGTGCATTTTAAGATTTCATTTTCAATATAGGCAATTTAAAAACCTCCCGAAGCCCTATTTCCAAAACTTGGGCAGTAGCTCGGATTAGTTTTTTTCCTCTTGACCTGATTTTCTTGGGGGCATTCTGAGCATTTCACAATGTATTTTTTTGGTTTCCATTCACGCTTGGGGTAGGAAACTTGATTTTAGGGGGGTTTTCTTCTTTGAGTTTTTTCAAAAAAGTCCGTTTAGATACCCGTTTTTACTCTCAGTTGCAGCAGTGGTGGGTTGTTCTCGTCGGGCCGTCACGACATCATTTTTGTTTTTGACCTTTCTCCCCCGTCCGGACTCCAAATTGAGTAAAAAAAATTTTGAACTTGACTAATTTGCCATTGTTTTTCCAGTGGTGTGCTCGATAGCACCTGAATCCACTTTTTGTAAAATGACCATTTTGCCCCTAGGTTCTTTTTGTCCGTTTTTGAAACGACACTTCTGTATTTGTTTCCTTTGGGTTCTGTGACCTCATTGAGGGTCACATTGGTATCTTAGAGACGCATTGTATCTCTAGAAACCGTTGTTTTACCTTTCGCTTCCGCATTTCGGATCCATTATCGGGTCATCTTTTGGTCATCACTGACGCATCGGGTTTACAAAACTTGGGCCGTCACAGGAATTCACGCTTGTGTCTTAGGGATGATGTACATTTCTAGAGACATTATTTTCATGTGAAAAGACCATTTTGCCCCTGGGGGCATACTCGGTCTATTTTTGATCTTTTACTTCCGCGTTCATTCTCGTTGAGTTCCGTGGCCTCATGGAAGGTCACTTTAGCATCTTAAAGGTATATTGCATCTCTAGAGACTTGGTTTCTATTTTCGCTTCCGCATTCGAGATCCTTTATCGAGTCATCGCAGGACACACTGGCTTGAAAAATCAGTGCCGTCATAGGAACGTAGTTTGTGTATGTTCCTAGCATATTTCCTTCTGAGGATTGTAAGCTTACCCTGCATTGATTCTCCTTTCAAGTTGAGGCAAGACTATTGAAGATGACGTTTCTCTTACTTGTATTGGAAAATATAATTTAATGTATATGAATATTTATTGCCATTTCATATTGTAGTTAATTTAGATATTGTAACTTGAGATGATGTGTATATTTAATCAGTGTAGCCATACTTGCATTGTAATGTTTAATTAGGATATATGATGTATCAGGGCCATATTGGCAATTCATATCATGTATTTGAGCTAGAAGGCTATTTTTGTTCCAATGTATGGATTTTATCCTTTTATTCACACTCCAATGTATGTTGCACACTTTACCTGTATTTCTACACACATCTTGGTTCACCATGTCCATGCCATGAATTCTTGACCTAGGGATGATTTTGGGCCACTTTGGAAAGCTTTTATGTGCCTTAGAATGGAGAAATTGTATATTTTCAGGAATTTTCAACAAATGGCTTGAGCCATTTTAAATGCACTCGAGCCATTTTTGGCTAGACTACGAATTTGCTCACTGCCTAAAAATGGATCAATCCATTTTTAGGGGAAAAAAAAAAAACCTTAGTTTAGTTACTCTAGATTGATTCAACCACAATCCATTCAGTATAAACCCAAATTAGGTCATTTTTGTGCTCAAATTGAAGGATTTTGAGCTAGTTTTCAAAAATATAAACCCCATCTCCCATATTTGACGTAGAATGACCATTTAACCCTTCCTTTCCGCATTATGACCGTTTTGACCTTAGCTTCCGCATTTGTTGCCCAAGTTCTCAAGTCGGGTTTGGATCTACTTGGTTAATGTACCGGGTTATAGGATTCGGGGCATTACAAGACTAATACTTTATTAGGCATGTGGAGCCCAAAACATTCAAAAAAAGGCAAAAAAAAAAACCCATATTTTTATCTCATAACCGTAACCCTACTTTTATTAAACAATTGCAGTACATTGCAATAAGTATGAAGAAGACAAAATGAAAGATTAATAACTATAATCGAAGCAAATATAGACATGTGGAACCTAAATCATTGACAATCGACACAAAACCCTAAAGGGGACCTATAATATTCGACAATAGAATTCTCCTATATCGAACTATAATACAGAGAAATGAAAATAATACTATCAACAATCAACTTAATCAAACAAATACAGAGTGTAAAGACATGAAAATAGGAAACCCTAACTTTGATCGTCATAAAATCGTACCTCACGAATGCTCTCCTTGCTTTCAATGGCGTAACTTCGTCTTCAATCTCAAACCCTAACTATCATGTGTGGGATCGTACAGAAAGAGCATGGAACCCTAAAGCTTCGATTGTCTCTGTGCGTGTGTATTAGTTGTGAGGCTATGTTTGGAAGTATAATGATAGATGATATTCGCATATAAGCATGGAACCCTATTTGTGCTTCATGACCCAAAATGATGTCGTTTAGAGAAGTATCTATTTGAGTAATTTCAACTTCTAGCCATATTTTATTATTATTGTATAATGAATATTGGGGGGCATTCGTATATTTACCTATTCCTCTTACAAGAAGCCCTTATTAGCTCACTTTTCATACTACAAGGGTAATTTTTGAACACGAGTGGTGTTATTTGCACACTTTTAAAATTACGACTGTGCTTTTGGCACTTCACCATCAGTTACTACTTCATTTGGGCCAATGGTATGGAGGCCCATCACAATACCCAACGTTGGATATTAATTGTGAGTGAGTGTTAATCGTTGAACTCCGAAAGAAGGGTTTAGTTTCTTCAAATGGCACTGTTCTTCTCAGCTTCTATATCCCCAATTCCACCAGTTCGATCCCAAAGACAATTCGCAATTTCAGAATTGTTGGTATCCGGAACACTAACATCAACAAAACCCATATCGAATTCAAAATTTTCGATTTCTACATCATCATTGTCTTCCAATTTCTCTAACCAAACACTACCAAGGTCTCATTGTCGCGTGAGTTCTAGCTCTACAATGGAGCCCAGTACATCTCCTTCCGCCACAATCTTCATAAAGGGTATCGTTCTATGGCAAAATTATGTCCATTTCCTTTTCTATATACATATATAAACATCATATATATACATATACATATATACTTTTAATTTGAATCAATGACACTATGGTGGACATTTTCATACATTTTAGTGTTTGAGTGAGTTTCTTGATTGCTATGTCATGAATGCACAGAGTTTACAGTATGGGAGTTTATTATGTCCAGTGAGATATGTTTAATCCGCAAATTCTTCTGATAGTTTTTAGGTATGCAAATAAACTCAGTTTCTGGTGAATAGCTTGAGCTTGACTTATTACGAAAGCTTGAAGAGTTTAATTTATGGGAATTATTGGGTCCTCGGATAATAAGTTTGGTTTAGAAGTTGTTTAGATAGTATTTAAGACTGCAAATAAATGGAGTTAATCATGAACGGCTCTAGCTCATGTTAAAAAGTTTGTTCACTTATTCGACGAACAAACATGAATTTTCTTGTTTCATAGGTGTTATTTTGTTATCATTGTTACGAACTTTATGAAATTTACATAAATAAAGTATAGTTAAAGTAATTATGGACTAGTAAATATTAAGCTAATTGATTTTGTGAATTTTAAGAATGCTAGATTCTGTGAATTAGTCATGTTAAGAATGCTAGATTCTAAGTAAAATGTAGTGCTAAAGGACCATTAAAAAAGCAGAAAAATATAAATAACCATGCCAGAACATTGTAGTTAAGCTCGAGTTAAAGCTTAGGCTCGGCTCAAACTCATGAAGTTTTCGTCAAACCACTCGTTCCATTTGCAGCCCTTAGTTGCCTATTTGGTTATTCAATTACCATGTGGTAGTCATATTGACAGGATAGTTTTATCAGGTAATGGAAATGCTCTAAGAATTCCATTAATTATGTATCAACGTTCCAACAAAAATACTTGTATGCATCAAAAACCTCTACCAAGTCAAAGGAAGAGATTGAAGACCATAGGGAAGAGAGAACAATATTTTGAACAAATTAGTCGTCAGTACTCACTAAGTGATATGTAAGTTGACACGAATTCTTGATCTATGAATGCAGGGTTAGCACAATCGACATCTGAGGAAAGCTTGAAGACAGCGTGTTCACAGTTCGGTGAAGTTAGTCGAGGTGAATTCTTGCTTGTGTATGGGTTTAATTAGTTAGGGTCTGTTGGAAGAAGGTAAAGAAAATTGACTTGTCATTAAAATTATGTGTCTATACTTAGAACTCCTGATCTTCAACAACTTTATGGAATGCCTATGTGCGATAGCACGAAATGTAGCACAGTAGCAGCATTAGAATTTTTCTTTCCTTATAGTGCTCAACATTCATGCCGCTGGTTACAGTTTATGTGTGATTATTTTTTATCCTCGTTTTCCTATCTGATTGCTTGTAGTCTCTTGCAGTTAAAATTATAAAGGAAAAAAGAACTAGACAGTCTTTGGGATTTGCATATGTTTGGTTCATCTCAGAGGAGTCTGCTCATACGGCTGTGAATGAGATGAACGGTAAGGTATGTGTATTATATTCATACTTTGGCTTTTTTTTAGCTACATGGGGAATCATCGTGACCAAATGACTTTGCTATGTGGTTGCTGTCCAGTTTTTTGAGGGCAGGTTTGTATTGGTTACTACTGCGAAGCCTGGATCTGTCAAAAGCCATGTAAGGAGACCACGATACAAGTTCTGAGCAAGTATGTTTTTGCTCTCTCTTAGTTCTTAGATACACTGAGCAGGAGCAAGAAATAGTTAACAGACACACGTTGAAGACAATCAGCATTGCGAATGTTGTGGTGGTTACATTGAACAAAGTTGGACCAGCAACAGTTGTGAATGGAGTTCTCCATTGGTTAACAGAGGATACGAGTAAGATAGTTTCTCTTGATTTAGCGGAGGATAAATTTCAAGATTTTCTTTTACTTGATTTTAAAACACCATCTGTAGCTTACTTGGTTGCAGTTTCCAAAGGATGTCTGTGTATGCGTCACTAGACCAGATATTATGTACTCTAATGAACTTAGGGTGATAGGGGAATATGGCAAGAGGGTGTCTTGGACTAATCTTGGCTTTACCATTCCGAATTATGTGATGCCTTTGGATTACTCAAACAAGGATGAAATTCTATATTTGATTAACAAGTGGTTACTTGTATTCAATCTAGAGAAAAATGCACATAGATATCTAGAAATTCCCTATGATACTCGATTCCATTGTCTTCAATTTAATGTTGAATACTCGATTCCATTGTCTTCAATTTAATGTTGATCTTATTTATTTATTTAATTTTCAATAGATTTCTCGCTCATAGAGTTCGTGAATATGGGATAACAAACATGTTTCCATGGATGTAGTTTCTTATGAAGCCGATCCTTAATTAAGGAGCTGCTATGTGAATGTGGTCAAATTGAATAGATTGGAAAGTTGAATGACACAAGAATGTGAGAGGCAAGTTTAATTCTGGAGACCAGTCACTTTTTTTTGTAAAAAAATTTCCCAGTAAATATGAGATCTGTGATTGTTGTTAATTAATGTATTTGTTCAGCTGTTATTGTAGAACTTTTTAAATTGGCTTATAGATCTTGTTATTGTAGAACCCTTAAAAGCCTAATATTCTGAACTGTTTCAGTAAACTTGTATATTTCATGAGTTTTGACGGAATTATCTTAAGCATGGTTAGGGGTACCAAGGATGAGCTCATAAACACAAAAGCATAAGGGCTCAAATAAACCTAGTTGTCTCTAACATGAATGAAACTTTGATTTTAGATTGACACTAAATATTGGGAGATTATGTAATCTTATGTAATAAGGAAATAAGCAATAAGACACCCTTACTGACATTATTACCCTTTGACTAGTAAGTCAACCTATTTAAATATTACTGAATTGTTTCAGTAAACTTGTATATTTTATGAGTTGACTGAACTATCTAAACATGGTTTGGATGTTCTAGCTAGGGGTACTAAGGATGAGCTCTTAAACACAAAAGCATAAGGGCTCAAACAAACCTAGTTGTCTCTAAGATGAATGAAACTTCGATTTTAGATTGACACTAAATATTGGGAGAATATTGGGAGATTATGTAATCTTATGTAAGTAAGGAAATAAGCAAGAAGACACTCTTACTGACATTATTACTGTCAACCTTTTTAAATATTAAAATTGCCATTTTAACCTTTACAAGTCTTTTTATTGGACCAAACTAACCCTCTCTAACAACAATTTCTTAAGTTGTGTTTGGTATAACAAAAATTAATGTGTCTTATTACATGACATTTCTCTCCCACAAAATAGAATTTATAAACTGTGGGATTAATTTGTTGCCTCTCTTTAATGATGAACTAGTTTTCCGTTACTTAGAGTGGTGGCCTATTCCCGGTTCCATAAGATGAAGTTTATGCCATTTACCAACAATAAAAATAAAAATAAAAATAAAAAAAATTATAAAACTTTGGATGCTGGTATTTTTTTTTTTTTTCATTTTTTTCTGTTTCTGAAATTTCATTAAATTTATGCTCCATACTCTTAAATTTTTTCATTTCATTGCTATTAATTTTACTCCTATCAAGGGAATTCCAAAGAAATTAAAATGTATAAAAGCCCAATAACTCTTTTTTATCATTGCTGCACATAAGCCTTTTTCATTTAATAAACATATTCGGATTCAGATAATATATTGAATTTTATAATCAAATTCAGATTGGAATTTCCGCAATCAAATTCAGATCGGATTCATATATATTTTATAATCAAATTCAGATCCGATTCATATAATCAAATTCAGATCGGATTCATATGTATTTTATTTTTGCATTTTTTCATTTTGCACAAAGTTTAAGAATTTTATGTGGTTCAATATATATACCATTACTTTCTAAATATTATTCTGACCCTTGTTTAAAGTGACATTAATCAATCAAGTTAGTTACCACAATTTATTTAGGCTCTAATTTAGGGGTGCAAGATGGGCGGGTTAGGCCAACCCCACCCAAAATTTTTTGGGTTGGGCTCGCAATTTTAGAAGCTCGGGTTGGGATTGGTTAAAAATTTTCAACTTAGGCCCAATTCGAGTTGGCCTCGGGTTAGAACTGTTCTAACCTGATCCCAGCCCGTCCATCAGAATTTAATTTTTTTATTATTTATTTATTTATTTTATTTTAATTATTATTAATATATATAACCGTAGCTAGATTTGCAACCAAAAAAAAAAAAAATCCGAATGTTCAAAGAAGAAGCCGTCACCACCTGCCGCCGCCTACCAAGTACCACCTCCTCTACCGCCGCCGCTGTCTTCCTCCTCCACCTCTGCCTTCTGATGTGTTTGGGAGTGGGTGTTGGAAAAAAAAAAAAAAATGATGTAGAGAAAGGGTGTTGTTTGGTTGTGATTTTTGTTTTTAACAGATCTTTAAATTAATTGATGCCAAGGAGAATTGAATAATGAAGAGAAGTGGTTGTGTTGTTTGGGGGTGGGTAGTGAAAAAAATAAAATTTTTGATTTGGTAAATTGTTTTTGAAACCCAAATTGAAGATTTCAAGTCTTTTTATTATTTTTTTTTTTTTTTGTTTGGGAGAGAAGAAAGAGGGGTTTAATGTTTCTAAGGTTTGATGAGATCCTTTAGATGTTAGATTGAACGGTTAGGATTAAGCTATAATTTTATTTGAAGGATCAATTATGGTGGATAGGTGTAAATATGCAGGTAAAAGAGAGATATTTTAAAATAATAATAATAATAATAACAATATGTCAATCCAATTAATCTGCCAAATAAAAAAATATACGTACTTGGGTTCATGAGCAGAGCAGAGCCCATTTTCTTTACTTTAATATATATATATATTTATTATACTTATGTCAATCCTTATAATTTTTTTATAAGAGTTCAAGGTAAGTAATACATGGTCGTTTTTTAATATTTAAAAAATATCAGTAATATGTACATATTCTGCCCTTGAAATGATATTTTAAAAATCTTTTTAAAATTAAATTCAAATAGTAAAAAAAAAAAAAAAATAGGCCTATTGTTTTGAAAGAAAGAAAAAAAGGAAACGAGTTGACTCGGAGAACCCATCCAACCCGTGAATATTCGGATTGATTCCTACAGGTTGAAGCCGAGATTTATGTTACCTCGGGCAAGGCCAACCCAACCCGAAATAGAGTTGAGGTCGGGTTCATGCTGGGCCTGGCTAGGTAGGCCCAAGTTGCACCCCAAGGCTCTATAATATTTTAACCATCATACATGTTTCACTTTTTCACAATAGTGCATAGTGAGTAAAAACTACATATTATACTTCCATAATATGCATGTGAGAAAATATGTTATTAAAGAGGGTTAGTTTAGTTCAATAAAATAATTTATAAAAATTAAAAAAGAAATTTTTAATATCTAAATAGGTCAACTAACTATTCAAAAGGCAATAATGTCACTGGAGATATTTTTGTTAACTTTATTAAATATGAAGGGTGTTATTGTACAAAAACATATCATATTGTATCTGCTTGTAATAAGCCTAAACCTCAGGGGGTGTCACAATAAATTACCCTAAAATTTATATAGATTCAACACACTTGTTAATGTTTTTTTTATTATTATTATTATTTTTTAGTATTGAGAATAGTTATAACTTTTATTGGATTTCTTTTGAGGAGTCAATGGGACTCCTTATTTTAGTAGTGTTTTTTTTTTTTGTTTTTCCCGAAGAAGAGTAAAGAGTTGGAACACTCGACTTTTCCTTTTTTTTTTTTTAACGGAAAGGAAATAAAAAAAAAAAAAAAAAAAAAAAAAATTCCCCTTTTTTTTCAAATCCATACCTAGTTTTTTTATTTATTTTCCTTTTCTGATTTTTCCACTGAAAATTTGGATTTATAATCACATCATTAGGACCAATGACACTCGAAATTGATTTGAGAGAATATGATTAATAACCCTAACTCGCCACTCGAGCTAATGTTTTGTTCGTTGTATACAATTTTTACACGCATATATTAACAAGCAACCGAAAGCGCCTTGGTTGATGCATATTTAAATATCGTCATTTTCTAACTTATACTCCATATAACTTTAGCACATAATTTATAAATTAATTACAATTCTATAAATGTCTTAATAAATATATAAATAAAAATTTACGTATTCGTGCTACATTTTTAAAATTTAACGTGTCTTCGTGCGGGTTAAGTGCTTCTTAACCCACAAAATATGAATAGTTTCCACATCACAACAATCATTTTTTCATGAGCCGGATTTTTTTGTTTGAAAAATTATTATTGTTGGTGGTGTATAAGTTAGCAAATTGCTTACCCCATTAAGATAATAACTCAAATCGGAATCTTAAATTAACAGTTCCTTTCGAACTGGAACCATAAATTAACAATTCCTAATTTTGAAACCAGATCCCAATGGATGTATGCCTCAGCCAGTAAACCCGTTTCATAGAGGTTGTCTCGTAATCGCACGCTGCCGTGGTAAGCCACATGACATGGAACCAATAACAAAGAGATTGTAAGAAAGCGGAACATTATGTGGTGGACTACCTTAAACAATTTCAGCTCTATTAATCTCACATGTATCAAGTATGTGGTGATCCAGTGGTGATATATATATATATATATATATATATATGTGGGCATGTAAAATGTACGTGAATACCTCATATAATTATATTATTTGCTTTTGGAACAAATGGTTCATATGAATAAAACAATAAACTTGTTGCAAGATTCCTTTGGCTGTTTGGCATGTTGTGTTTTATATGATTTGGAAAGAAAGAAACTATAAAAATACTCAAATTCATATTTGGATGAGACTTCTATAAGCTTTCCTAACCATAAATTAACAATTCCTAATTATGGAAGTGGGAACACTGAAGTACTTCAAAGATGTTGTCTATTGCTTCAAAATGAGTCCTTGACATTGGCCTTCATGGATCCGGGGATGGGGATAGGGATAGGGATGGCAATGGAACGGGTATGGCACGGGTTCAGACGAACCCATGCCGGCCTGTAAAATTATTAGGAATCCCATACCCGCCCCGTACCTGGGACGGGTTGATTTCTCAATACCCATCCCCGCCTCGTTGGATTATGATTGAACCCGTCCCTGCCCCGCCCCGTTTTCATGTATGAATTTGTTTGAGCTTGAAACAGTATCATCTTTAGCAAACAATTAAACATTATGTGGCCTGTGGGTGTCATCCAAAGAACCTCCTTTGAGTCCTTTCATCAAACACTTTATGTGTCATCCAAAGAAGCCACTTTTTCAAGCTCAAACAAATTTATGCTCTCGTAGAAGCCACTTTTTCAAGCTCAAACAAATTTATGCTCTCGTAGACTAAAAGCACAGAGAATTACCCACCCGAATAAAACAAATAATATTTCTAATCTTAGGCTCAATACACATCCACCAGTGGAGGTCTCAGCACAATCTTACACACATTGACTAAACACACAAACTCGAAATCAAATATTTTCTCACAGATAGAACAAAGGTAATTTTAACATAGACACATGCCCAGGAGAAAGAGACGAAGGGAGAGAGAAAGAGAGACGAAGGGAGAGAGAAAGAGAGACGAAGGGAGAGAGAAAGAGACTGAGCGAGAGAGAGAGAGAGAGAGAGAGAGAGAAGAAGAGTTCTAATCAAAGGAGATAATGTCGATCTGGTGATTTCTTAGTTGTCGGTGGTGATAGCTGTGTGGTAAGGGTTTGTAAGGATGGGTGCTTTAGGTTAAGAAATAAAAAGTAACAAAGTGTGTCACAAAAGAAAATAAAAAATACGGGGCGGGACGGGATTGTATCAAAACCCGTGAAGGGTTTTTAATTTTTACCCACACCCACCCCTGCGGAACAAAAAGGGTTCCCATACCCGTGTCATTAGGGGCGGGAAGGGGCGATACAAATTGCCATTGGACATCTGCACACTGATTGCTCTATGAGAGCATTGCTAATAGGAGCTCTGTGAGTGAATCCACATTGTCATCATCTTCAAGCATGGCAGAATTTTGGCTTCTATTGTCCTGTGCAGACATAGAATCAATTAGAATTAAGCATGCAAGCTCCAGCAAGTCGAGTCTCATACCAGTACTCGTTGAAGAAGAAAATATAGAAGTCAAAATCACCCCAAGAGATCTTTCTTATCTTTAGCTTTCCTAACCATGGCTTCAATGAACCCAGAAAATTTAAAAAATATGATCTTCATAAAAGATTGGATTTCTACAAAATAACTACTAGAACATATTTTCTCATGCTTATCAGCATCAACCTTTCAACACTAAATCAAATATGGACAGTATGATTTAATAAATAAAAAATTGGATGGTATGGGGTATGGACATGGTCACTTCACATCTAACATGGCTCTCCTAAACAATGGATCTAACCACCGTTGCAATATTACACCACACAAGCCTAGTAACCAACTCCATAATATCTAAACATACGATAACAGAATCAATATCACCATTCAAATGATACAAAATAGACAAAAATAGGACGGTGTTGTATGGGTGTACTTTCCAGAACAGCACCATGCACCAAAACTTCCTCGTGCCAAGGACTATATGTCCTCCTTTGAAATAGCAGACATTAACCCCAAAGCTCCCCTACCATCCTTAATCTTACATCAGACAACATAGTAGAAGAAGGATCACTGACACCAAAAGTAGAACTCTGGACCAAACTTACTCAAAACCAATCAATGCTCTTTTTCTGCATTTTAATCTAATTGGACCTCTATATAACCTAAGAAATAAGTACACCTTGTCCAAGAAAATACCAAAACCAATAATAACGTATAATAATTAAAATCATAGGAAGGGAAAAAAAAAGGCACAAACAAGAAAATATAGTAGTTGTTGGATCTGGTTAGCACCTTCATGATGGTCAAGGCAGGTGGATAAAAATATTGTTTCCATTTTGGATTAGTTTGTGGGAGCAGAATAATGGGCCACATTAAATGGGATGATCTCAGATCCTGGAATGTAAACTATGAATCTCATCATTAAAGCATCTTCGGAATGCAGTTGCGTAAATAAAGGCAAGTTATTTGTTCGACTTGTCCGAATGAAGTAATGACCATCCTTCTATAACTTGTCTGTGCCCCAAAAAAAAAAAAAAACAAATTATATATATAAAAAATGAACTCCGAGTGAACAAGACAAGGAATATCACAAAATGAAGGAATTTTTTGTCTATTCCTCTAACCATTGTGGTACAACTCGTCCTGGTCAGCCCTTAAAAAAACAATCCAAAAATGAAGAAAAGGGCCTTTACTGTCAATGTATTTAGTCATATGACTCATATGCACACATGCAGGGTCAGAGCCAAGATTTAACTTCAAGGGGGGGCACTATGTAATTCTTTAAGCATCACCACCACCAATGTCTTCCCATCCCTCACTGCCTTAATCCCCAACTTAAGTTTTAGGGCTTGAGAATGGAGGAGGTGGCAGGCAACGATGATGGAGGGGGTTGGTGGTAACACAAGGATAGAAATTAGGGTATTAAACGGAGGAGGTGGTCGGCAACAATGGAGTTTTGCTAGAGATAGGAGAGAGCATGACGTTGGAGAGAGAATACCCGTAAACAAAACCCGGACAATCCACATTTAATTCTTTTTAAGTTGTATAGATATAAGTTTTGTTGGGCCAAGACACCTATAAGAAGGAAGTTCCATTTCACAGGAAGGAGGCAAGCATTTTCCTATAAATAAACAAATAAATTAATGCGGCGGCCTAGCCAAGGGAGGCTTTTTAGAAAGAAAAAAAAAAAATTAGGGGAGGGGAGGGGAGGGGAGGGGAGAGAGAGAACGGAGGGAAGGGAGGGGGGAGGGGAAGCTGGCTCCGTCCCTGCACACATGCACTTTAAAAAATAAATAAATAAATAAATACGTTCACCTTCTCTTTATTACCATTCTATACCATTTGCGACATAGAAAGTAAGAGAATTTTTTTTTTTTTTTTTTGAAAAGCAATAATGAAATAAAAAGGCAATCAAAAGGAGAACGCGTCCCTTATACAGAAGTGGAACTGGGAACTAAGGCCCCAAAGAATCCAAAAAAATAATTAAATCATCGGAGCTCCTCTTCACGTAACTGAAAAGAGAACGAATAATATGGAGTTTTAGCATCGCCGTGGACGATTCCTTTCCTTCGAACATTCTACTATTCCTCTCCTTCTAGATGCACCACCAAACGCAATGTGGGACAATTCTCCAATAATCGTGTACACCTCTACTCACACAACAACCTCTCCAAGCTTGAATTAAATCCTTAGAAGAACGTGGCATTACCCAACGCATACCAAACAACCCAAGAATAAGATTCCAACAATCGTACGTCACAGGTCAATGCATGAGGATATGATCAACTGACTTACCATCTTGCTTACATAGACAACACCAATTAACAAAACAGTTAACCCGCTTCCTCAAATTATCAATCGTCGGTATCTTACCCCAAATAGCAGTCCAAACAAAGAATGTCACCCTAGTTGGAGCCATAGAACGCCAAATGGTCTTCCACAGGAAGTCAAGACTAACAACAAAATTAGATAAACATCAGAACAAAGATCGCACTACAAAACGACCATGGGAAGAGGGAATCCATATTAGATCGCCACTATCTTTACCAACTGCCTCCTGCCTATATAGCAAATCCAGAATAACACACACCTCGTCCAGCTCCCAATCTTGAAAGGAACACCTAAAGCGCACATCCCATGTAATCCCACTACTATCAAGCCGATAACATTCAACTACGTAGGCGTGTCTATCAACTAAAATACTGTATAATCTGGGAAAAGTATGAGATAATGGTTGGTCACCACACCAAAGATCCTCCCAGAAACGAACGCATCTGCTATCACGAACTTTGAACCTGATATGAGTAGATTTACATCCCATCCCTTCTGGATGGATTTACACACCCCGACTCCTCCCGCAAGATGAACCGGACCGGTAGACCAGCCACCACTCTCTTTTACATACCGAGATGAAACTAACCTTCGCCAAGGGCGATGTCTTTCTGTCCCGTATCTCCACAACCATTTACCCAAAAGAGTTTGATTAAAAGGAACCAACCTTCTAATACCAAGACCACCCAACTTCATGGACTTGCAAACTTGCTCCCATCTAACAAGGTGATACTTGAACTCTTCGCCCCTTCCGCCCCAAAGGAAATCCCTTTGAATTTTTTCGATCCTATCAGTAACAGAGCATGGAATTTGGAACATGGATAAAAAATATGTGGGAAGGCTCAATAAAGTGCTCTTAATGAGAGTAACTTTACCCCCCTTAGACAAGTATTGCTTCTTCCATCCTGCCAATCTCTTCGTATACCAATCAATCACAGGAACCCAACTCCCCACTCTCCTGGAAGAAACCCCTAGGTGCAAACCCAAATAAGGAATGGGGAAAGAACTAACCCTACACCTGAGGACTGCAGCTAAAGAGGAAATATCCTGAACATCCCTACAGGGACAAGCACACTCTTAACCACGTTGACCTTCAACCCAGAAACCGCCTGAAACATGCTAGTATACACCTCAAATATCTAAGTTGCGACACATCAGCATCACAGAAAACCAGGGTGTCGTTCGCGAAAAGAAGATAAGAAATCTCCACCTGATGGACTAGATATCTTTCCACTCTAAAGCCATTAATAAGACCAAGATCTTTGCCCTTCGCATAAGTCTGCTCAAGCCCTCTATAACAATAAGAAAAAGGAAAGACGACAAAGGATCTCCTTGTCTTAAACCCCGGGCACCCAAAGAAACCAGTAGGAGATTCGTTCACAAGAACAGAGAACTTGATAGACGAAGGATAAGTCTCAATCCAATTCCTCCAACGGCTTCCAAACCCCATTCTCTGTAGCAAGTAAAGAAGGAAATTCCAATTCACGTGATCATATGCTTTCTCAATGTCAAGTTTGCATAGGACTCCGGGAACCCACTGTGCAATCTAGAATCCACACATTCGCCTACAATAAGAACTGAATCTAGAATTTGCCTTCCTCCAACAAAAGCGTTCTGGGAATCCGAGATAATCCCATCCATTACTTTCCGCATCCTAAGGGCAAGAACCTTAGCCAAGAGTTTGTAAATACAACCCACTAGGCTAATTGGTCTAAAATCTTTAATGTCTGAAGCACCTCCCTTCTTAGGGATAAGGGCAATGAATGACACATTTAACGACTTTTCAAAAACGCCAGTAGAATAAAACTCCTGAAATGTACTCATCACCTCATTTCTCACAACTGCCCAACTTTCCATTAGAAACCGCATAGTAAACCCATCAAGTCCCGGAGCTTTGTCCCAATTACAACTTGAAAAAGCCTGTAGAACTTCATCTTCTGTAAAAGGAATCTCAAGCGCATCTCTGTCCAATTCAAATAAAGCCTCAAAGCGGAGACCATCAAGTTTAGGTCTCCATGCTAACGGTTCTAAGTAAAGCTTCTGATAAAAGGAAAAGATCCCATTACGCATTTCCTCCCTCCACAGCTCCGCACCTTCCACCCGCATTCGTCCTATATGATTACTCCTTCTGTGAGCATTAGCGAGTCCATGAAAACATTTTGTTTTGCGATCTCTCTCTTTTAGCCAAAGAGCCTGGAATTTTTGTCTCCACGAAATCTCCTCCATATTAGCAATCTCAGCAAAAACTGTTTGACAAGAGGCTCTCCTAGAACGTAGTTCCTCCACATCCCCACCCGCCTCTTCAAGACAATCAATCTCAGAGAATTCGACAAGGGCTCTATTCTTCCTCTATTCAAGATTCTCAAAAACATCCTTATTCCACTTCTTAAGATCGAATTTGAGAGCTCTCAACTTCTTTGATAACGTGAAGCTAGGCGAATAAGAGAATATTACTACAAGAATAAGACAGCTCAATATAATACGCTCGGAATAATAAATGTATCCAAAGGAACTGATAATATTTAAAGAAGGAAACATATATTATAGGGGTCATTACTTGGTGAGTTAGTGAAATGACAAAAGTTTCAACTAATAAGTATGAAAACCAACAAGCGTGTGTAAACGGTAGACACACTGGGTAATGCCTTTAGAATATATAATAATGAATGACTTTGACGTCCTTGAAACCAAATCCTAAATGATTCATGAGACTGTTCCTACTTCTCCTCAATTCAAATAATTCTTTTTTTTTTTATAAGTAATAATCGATTAGAAAAGTGTTCAAAAGGGTAACGCGTCCCTAACACAAAAACGAAAACTGAACCTAAGGACCTATAGAGTCCAAAAGATTAACTAAATCATCAGTAGAAGAACAAGTGCTTCCTTTCACAAAACAAAAAATAAAGCGAAGAATATGAAGTTTCAAGGTCGCCAAAGGCGAAAATTCTGCTATTCCTCTCTTTCCATATACACCACCAAACACAGTGTGGAACTATCCTCCAATAATCGCGAGCGTGACTTCTCACTGGGCATCCTCTCTACGCGTTAATCAGTCCTTTGGAAGACTGAGGCATTACCCAATGCATTCCAAATAAGCTGAAGATGAGGTTCCAACAATCGTATGCTACAGGACAATGCATAAGAATGTGATCCACAGACTCACCATCTCGTTTGCATAGACAACACCAATTAATTATAGTATTGCCTCTCTTCCTCAAATTGTCCAGTGTCAAGATCTTACCCCAGACGGCAATCCAAACAAAGAATGCCGCTCTAAGTGGAGCCTTGGAGCGCCATATAGTCGTCCATGGGAAAACAGAAAATGTGAGCCCAAAACTCTTCTTTCATGCATATTAATAGATCACTCATACGCAAAAGTTAAATCCAGAGAAACATGTTTTACATAATATATAAAAGAACAGACAGGTTAGGCCACCTAGGACTTTGTAGCCATAATGAAATCACGGAAAGTTAAATTTAGAGAGAGAATTTACATAGCATATGATGGAATATACTATAGGACTAATTAGTCATAATGAAATCAAACATACATGGAAATGACTACTAGCCTTTCCCAAGGAAGAAGCCCTCTTATCGGTAAAACAAGGGAATCCACCAAATCAGTGTAACTATAAAGATACACACACCAACCATTGCAATCACCACATGAGTATGTTACAGACCTAGAAAATAACTAATTATTGAAAGATATAGCCACTCAAATGGAACTATGAAGCAAATCTACCGGTTGTCAAAATTTAAAAATAAATATAAATAAATAAATAAAAATTAAAAAAAAAAAATGAGCATATTTCATAACATTACAGATGAGAAACATAATTATGAAATTTTCCAACATGCAACAAAAGTGAGCAGATAAAGCTGATGCAATCTTACCTCTTATCATATTGTATCAGCCACCGAAAAACCTCATTGAAGTGATTAGAGGATTACTCCTAAGATGGCAAACCTTATATGCAGCCAAATCATTTTGATAGAAACTCAAATACACCATATCGTTAGTCCTCCGCTGTTGCTAGCATATCTAGCAGTTGCTCGCTTCTCTGATTCCACATTATCCTACATTCTAGTAGTGAATCCTTCAAATCCTATCTCACCCTTGTACGCTTTGATTACCTCAGGAGCAACCTCCTTATACTTGGTCAGAAACCTGGTCTCAAAATTCTGTGTGGTAAGAGTCAACACCCGAACCACATCTACATCCTTCCCAATCAAACCCTTTGACATCAGAACTTGTAGAACAGAACATCTTGGAATGATTCTCCTTTCCAAATTATTTTCAAAAAGATTTGGGCATTTAGCAATCTCTGATGCTCTTAACCCCGCCTTGTTCACGAAGAAATCCATCAGTTCCTTGATCTTCTCCTCCGAGCATTCCATACACATCGGTCGTAATTTGAATGCCGAATTAAATGTGCTTTCAGACCAACCATAGGTCATATAAGCTTTCATTTTCTTTTCCCAGTTGAGTTTGGTATTCATGGACATTGTATAGATAGCACATATATAAGATCGACTTTTGGGTTCAAAACCCATTTCCTTAACTGCATCATTAACCTCTTTAAACCTATCAACTTTCAACATTAGTGCTCTAGGCCAGGACACGATTAATTTTTCAATATTGGATTCAGGCATACCATGAGCCCGCAATGTGTTGATATTGGGCGCCATAACTTTTTCAACGTTGCACGCAAGCACACAGCTAGATCGCTTAAGAACATAAATTAAATTCTCATTGGTCCTCGTGTATTGTTTCAGGAAATTAATTGTAGGTTTGATTTGGTTTTCTAAACTTCTATCTAACACATCACTTGCATAAAGAACCCTGGGCAAGTCAGGACCGACGATACCCAAAGATTTAAAATACTCAATTTTAGGCCTCAAATTTCTCTCTGGATCAGCCAAAATTAAATTTGGGCTTGTAGAAATTAGGATTGAAATGTGTTTTTCAGTGAAGCCATTCGACCTTAGGAACTCAAGAACCGAGTCCGGTTTCTCTGGGCTCTTAATTTTGACCGTCTTAGAAGCTGAGATAGCAGATTTTAGAGACAACCCACACGACTTGGTGAGATAAGAGACCGTGAGAGCTTGTTTCTCTGTGAAATTTGTGGTGTTTGCTACTGACTGGGTTTCAAAAAAACGAACCATTGTGGGTGTATTGTGATTGATTCTGTAATGTATCAAAGTGTCGTAAAAGAAATGAAAGATGGGTGATATAGACTTACATGATCTGAACGCCATAGGGTTGAGCAATTTGAATGTCAGCCTCTGCCCCGCGCTCGATCTTTCCCACAAGTTTCAGTAAAAACCCTAGCCCTAGTGAGAGTGACTCAGAAGAGCCTGTTTAAATGTTGCGACTCATAAAGTATTGTGGGTCATCATCTATTGTAAACTTCTTTTGGGCTTACACCGAAGGCCATTAATAATAATAGGGAAAATTATATATAAATGGAGTCAAAGTTTCATATTTACTTAGAGGCTGAGTCAAAATTTCATATTTACTTAGAGGCTGAGTCAAAGTTCCATATTTCTCTAAAATGGATTGCTGAGGTGGCACATGGTTTTTTACTGTTTAGAAATTGTAGTATCTAAAATACCCTTCCACGAAGGTACTACTTTTTCTTCGAAGGTACTACTTTTTTGAACTGAAGGTACTACTTTTTGGCGTCCAGGTACCATGTTTTTTAAATACCCGCGAAGGTACTATTTTTTCTCCGAAGGTACTACTTTTTTGCACTGAAGGTACTACTTTTTTGTTAGAGAAGGGCATTTTAGGCACCACAATTTTCTAAACAGTAAAAAACCATGTGCCACCTCAGTAATCCATTTTAGAGAAATATGGAACTTTGACTCAGTCTCTAAGTAAATATGTAACTTTGACTCCATTTATATGTAATTTTCCCTTAATAATATTTGTTGGACTTCATCTTCATCTATGATTGTGAGCCTTCTTTTTTATTATTTCTAATTAAATTATGTTTATTATTTTTTCTCTTATTTAAATATTAATTATTCTATTTATCTTATTTTTATTATTTGTATCCATTTATCATAAAAAAAAAAAAAAATTGTAACTACCATTTTATGAAATAATTGACTTATTTTTAAAACTTTACTATTTGTAATAAAACTTATTATACTAATTTTAAACTTTTTTTCCATAAAAAAAAATAACTTCTTTTTCATACAATATATATTCATGAGATATTTAAACTAATTAAATAAGTATACGTCCTTTTTCATTAAATTAATCATGAAAAATTAAGAAATTACGAAAATTGTGTAAAAATTTTCTACTGAAGATTATAATGTAAATAATTAATTTCAAGAATTAAAGGTAAATTTAATATAAAAAAATATCATTAAATTAGTATGAAATTTTTTTCATAATTTATTTTAATAAGAAAAATGGATAAAGTGTAAGAAATGGTATTATGGTTATTTAATGAAAAATAGCCCTGGCATAGGGACATTTTACAACAAAATATAATAGTTTATGGGAAATTGTGCATAAAAAATATTTCAAGGGGGTTATTTGCAAGGTTTTTTTTTTTTTTTTTTTTTTTTTTTTTTCTCTTTTCTATAATTTTTCCATTTGCAAAAAACATCCACAAACCCACTTTTACCTCTGTGAGGATTTGAGCCCTCAACCTACTACTTTGGAAAACCATTAGGCTACAAGGCCGAGGCAAGTATAGACATTAGGTTTTTTATTTATTTTTATTTTTATTAGCACTTTACACTTATTATTATTATTATTATAGTAAGTTGATTTGGAGGCTATTTCATTTTTTTTTTTTTTTTCAAAAGTTCAAACAAACATATACACCTCTTGGCAAGACTTGAACACTCAACTTCCCTTCTTTTAAATGCACATCTATTTTTTTTATTTTTTTTTTTCAGGGAAAAATTGGATCTATAACCGCATCATCCGTTAGTGTGTTTTTCAGAAAAGTTTAAAAAAAATATTTGTCACGCCACAAGACCATAAGGCAGAATTGATACGGTTAAAACAGATAATAGAACAACAATCTTCATCGTGAAGAAAATCTACGCAGCCTGTAATAAAAAATTTATATAAAATTTAATTTTTTTCGAAACGAGACAAACTAAAATTCTTTAGAAATTAAACTCAAAAGGTAACTGAGCCACTCCCAACAGTTGACCACATTAATTGTGTTGAAAATAGATAGTGTGACGAACTTTGGTCTTAAAAAAAATAATAATAAATAATAGGAACATAGAAGATTCCAACACTTGGATTTTGAAAAAATTATTCGACTGACTTCCCAACATCAAAAATTTTTGAATATTTTTTATTTTAGACTCCCATGAGTCTACTTTCTAAAATTTCCAGTCTTAACAAATTTATGCACTCACATTGGCCTTCACTGATCTTGGCGAGGACATCTGCACACTGACAGCTCTCTGAGAGTATTGCTAAGGTGACACACACTGGCTTTGGCTAATATGTCAGATATGGGAGCTCTGCGAGTGAATCCACATTGTCGTCGCCTTCAAGGATGGCAGAATTCAGACTGCTCTTCTCCAGTGAAGACATCGAACCAATCACAGAATAAATAGTATAGTCACTAGACAAGTCGGTTCTCATACCACTATTCGTTGGAGGAGAAAATATAGAAGTTAAAATCACCCGAAAAGATCTTTCTAGGTTTAAAACTCAAAAGAGAAGACTAAAAAACTAAGAAGTACAGACACTTCTACGAAGGAATCGTACCTGCGTCGGACACCGACACTCCTCAAATACGTATCCGACACTTCATATACGTGTCCATAAATCAAAAATTAATTTTATTATTTCGAACTCTTCTCTAACACTTTGTGGACACTTCCTAAACATTCCTCACATTCGTAAGCTTTGATTACGTAAAGAGCTATGAGGAGGCCCGAGAGGATTTCTTGTATCTTCAAGCTACCTCCTTAACCTGGTCTCAAAATTCTTATATTAAGAAACATGGACACTTTTATGAGGTATCATGTTAGTTTCCAACACAAAATCAAGTACTAATAGGTCCGATACTGATACTTCATGCATAGTTATAGACACGTGTTTGACACTTTATGACTGTATTTATCATTTAAAAATGAATTTTATTATTTCGGATACTTAGCCGACGTATTACATTATTCATCTAATATAAAACACACACGAAGTTCAATTTCAAAGAACAAAAATATAACTATATTGATGAGATAGGATAGAAATCTCATATATAATATAATACATATATACATTTATATATTTAAGTATTGTTCATTTTCTAAACTTATGTAACTTTAGTATATAATTTATAAATTAATTAAAATTATATGATTGTCTCCTTCAAAAAAAATAAAATGAAAATTTATTTTTATATTAGTTATGTCCATGCCGAGTCCATGTCCTACGTTTTTAGAATTTGACGTATCATCATACCGCGTCTATATTCGTATTTCTTAGCCTATGAATAGTATCCACGCGACAACAATCTATTGTTTTAAGAGTTTGACTTTTCCGATGATTTAGAGAATTATTGTTGTTGTTGTAGTATCAGTTAGCAAATTGTTTACCCCATTAACTAAATAAAAGTAAGAGAATAGAATTGGAAAAAAAAAAAATATATATATATATATATATATGTATATATATATAGTCAATAATTGAAATGGAATAGTGAATTAACAGTTCCAAAACCGAACCCAACTGGAATTGTAAATTAACAGTTCCTAATTTTGGAACTGAAACACAACCGAAATGACAATTCTGTTCGTTTCGTACCTGCTCACCAGTTTGAACGAAAGTAAAAATTATCAGTATTACCACCATTAACATGAGAATGCATAAATTATTTGGGGAAGTACATAGTGACAACGCAAAAGTGAGAACAAAATGACGGAATGAAAAAGATTAGCAAGGCACAGTTCTCTGTTTGACTTCCCCCAATAAATGTAGTATCGCAAGGTGCACGATCTAGAAACACTATAAAAGATAAACATACTTCTCTTCAATTCAAATATTCCATACACAATAAAGCTATTTTCGCTCTGTAACATGCTACGTATAACTTCAAAATACACTAATTGAAAAATATGAGCCCTGAGTTCTTCTTCTTATGAAGATTTGCATATTAATAGATCTCTCATATGTCAAAGTTAAATTCAGTGAAAAATATTTTTTCATAAAAATATTTGCCTACTCACGATGAGTAAGAAGTGTTGGAATTTATATATATATATATAAATAATAAAAATGTAATGAACCGGTCCTTTTCCTCCTTTTTCATTTTCGGCGATTTTCTTTTTTCGTCTTTTTCCTTTTTTGTCTTTTTCTTTTTTCGTCTTTTAGTCGTTTTTCATTTTTCCTTGCATAACTTCACTTGTTATGCTTGGATTTGATTCCGGTTTTGCATGCATTCATGGTATTTGATTTCCATGACGTTGGTATTTTTACTTTTCTTGAAAAGCATGCTAGATTAGTACTTTTCTTGTAAAGGGCATGAATGCATACTTTAGTGTAATTATTTATAACTTTTGGGGTTTTAGTGTAATTATATGAAATAATTATTTTTCGCTTTGGGGACCTTTTTGCAATTTATTTTGGAGGATATTTTGAAAAGGGCCATTTTGTAATTTTTAGAAAGTGTGACAAGTGTCACACTCTCATGGAGCCATTTGTTGGCATTTTGGTGAAGAGACTTGGCACCATGACTCTTGACATTTGGTGGGTGAAGATTCATCCATGTGTTGGCATTAGATTGGTGCACATGTAACCATTGATTGTTGACAAGTGTAGGTCTAGGATTAAGTCTTGGAAAGGGCATTGGATTAGTGACAAGTGTAGGTTCACCATTTAGTCTTGCATTGTGTGTGTGTGTGAGGTAGTGCAAGAGCACATAGTGAGTGGAGGATTTCTAGCCCTTCCACTCACCATTTTACACTTTACCTTCTTCATTTCATTATCTCTCATGAACCCTAGCAAATCCACCATTAGAGGAAAGCTTAGTTCATAACTTCTCCCTTCAATTTGGCTCACTTCCTTTCACCTTAGAGTAAAAACCTTGGGAGAGAAAAGATTCCTCTCACTCTCCTCTTCAATAATCCTAACATTGTTTTTCATTTTGTGCTTGGTAGCTTGGATTATAGAGATTCAATTCTCTATTGAGGTAGGGGTGGTAGTATGTTTATATTCTAAGTGTTTTATAGTCCTTGTGATTTAATATATATTGTGTACATGCTTTTGATATGATAGTATTGCATATTATAGGAAACCCTTACTTCTTGACTTAGGGTTTATTGATTTAAGCATGTATGATATGTGTAAACCATGTGTAGGAGGATTATATAATTTAGTAGTATGCTAAATTCTAGAAATT